TATTTATTTATTTTTGAGACAGAGTCTCGCTCTGTTGCCAGGCTCCAGGCTGGAGTGCAGTGGCGCAATCTCGGCTCACTGCAACCTCCGCCTCCCTGGGTCAAGCAATTCTCCTGCCTCAGCCTCACAAGTAGCTGGGACTACAGGCACGCACCACCATGCCCAGCTAATTTTTGTATTTTTTTAGTAGAGACAGGGTTTCACCATGTTTGCCAGGATAGTCTCCATCTCCTGATCTTGTGATCCACCCTCCTCGGCCTCCCAAACTGCTGGGATTACAGAGGTGAGCCACCACACCTGGCCCCAAGCTTTATTTTTTAAAAATATTGCCAAATTAGATATGGGGAAGCAATTTAGAAAGCCTGAAAAAAAATGTAAAACTATGAAAGGATATGTGTTCAATCACTAACAAATGTCTTCTTTTCAAAGACTTTGAAACTGGACATTTTGTAGGAGATGAATTATGAGAGTGATTTATGAAAGAAAGAAAATGAAGAATTACAATCGATGGAGACATTCAAACGAAAGACTTTGGCACTATATCAAAAGACAGTAGAATAAGTAGTCTTTGCTTACACATTTTACATTAAATGTTTATAATACATATTTGCTGTTTTTTAAACTGTAATTCAATTACTAAGGCAGAAGGGGAGAATTGATATTGGATAAAGAACTTTCAATTCTGTCACTATTAGTAGTATTTGAGTGTGTGTGAATGCTGAGCTTCTCAGTTTCAATAGTTAGAGGAAAAAGAACTGAATCATGAAGCATAAACTACAAATATAGCGTTTGTAAGATATTCTCTTTAAAAAATGGCAAAATTCTAGCAAACTGTCTTTGGTGCTTGCTTTTTTAGAATGAGGGGCACGGGCTCTGAGTCTTTGTTTCAGATTTTATGACTGCTTTTTACTGCATCAAACATTTGACCAGACAAAGTACATTTTAATGAACAACTTTACCTCCCTTTAAAAGAAACTTAATGTCCAGCTGAAACTCCTCATCAAGTTAGCCGGGATCATGATGTTCATTTTGGATGAGGCAATGTACTAATTCACTAAGGCAGCTCAATTTGACATTTCAGGGTTAGGGTATCTTCCTTAAGAGTTACACAATAAGTTGGAATTAAAGTGCCCTGCTTGCTTTTGATAAGACTGATCAAAAGAGTGATAGCAGTAATCACTACTTAGAATCCTATTTAATAAGTATTTTCCATTTGTCTAACTCTAAGGAGAATTTAGGTGATTTGTCTAGCGAAATCCATTTGATACCAGGATTTGTCACGGTCATTCTACAATCAATCAAGTGTTCCTAATATAATGAATGAGATTTAAAAAAAATCAAGCTAACATTTATATGCTGCTTGCTACTTCCAGAAACTGTTATTATGCATTATTCACTCACTTAATCCTCCTTACTACTTTAGGGGGTAGGTACTATTATTATTCCTATTTTTTCCAGATGAGGAAACTAAGGCACAAAGAGATTAAAGCGCTTATCCAAGATCATACAGCTGGCAAGAGGTGGATATGGAATTGTTAGCATCACAATTTCATGAACCGCATTTCTTGATGGGTAGAGCTAGTCAAAAGTCTGAAAATAAGTCTGGTTTAAAGATGAACATCATCTTTTAAGAAATTATATAAAAACCACAGGGCCCCACATATAGCAAAAAAAAAAAAAAAAAAAAAAAAAAAAAGAAATTATATAAATGAGTATCACTGAAAAGTATCTCTTTAAAGTCACCAAGCACTGTTCACTATGGACAAGGAAATGTGAATTTGGAGATTTTTTGACTTAATATTTTCATGATGATTAACTGAAGAATCTGATAGTAAATAGCCCTGGGGTCTTTTTTAGTTAAAACCCCTGTTGCTGTTAATAGTAATTGATGCAATTGATAGTAATGCGTTGTATCCCTCAGATGTATTCCAGCTGAAGAAGGTTGAGAGCCACTACAATTTATTGCTCTACGTCATTTTTCTAAATAATATTTTGATGACTGTCCATCTACAAATTGTTCAGTGGCTTTATATTTAGAGCATTATTTGGGAAATTGCTATTTTAAATATGTTAACCTATAAATATTCAATGAAGCTTTGGCAACGAAGAGTAAGACTTTACAAAATCTTAAATTGATGAATAGCCCAGTTCTGGTTATCTATGTAACAACACTTCCCTAGTAACCTAAAACAATAACATTACTATTTCTCGTGATTCTGTGGATTAGCTGGGCTTAGCGATAAGTTCTCAGGTGTTGCTTGAGGTCATACCCAGATAGCAGCTGAAACTACAGTCGTCTGCAAACTCTCCTTTTTCTTGGGTGGACCACCCAATGTAGGTTTCTCATGCACATATCTGGTGCTGTGGTGTTTCTTGGCCAACTCTCTTCTTCTACATTTTATCTCATCTTCCTGCCCTCTCCACATGGCTTGGGCTTCTTATTACATGATGGCACAAGGTACTAACACTGCTAATACAGTAGTTGACTTTTGGGATGCACAAATTGGACCCTTTTAGACCAATTAAGGGCTATGTGAAACTGGAGTAGTATCACTTCCATCGTATTCTATTGGCCAAAATAGCAGAGGGCCTGATCAGACCCAAAGCGGTGGAGAAATAGATTTTTCTTAATAGGGTAGTACCAAGTTCATATTGCACAAGAGGATGTGGAATGGGAGCTATTGTTGTTGTCATTAGGTAATACACTCTGCCAAAAGTACTATACCACCTAATTAAGTTTGCTTTGCACATGATGACAGGGAGAAAACAAGATACTGTGTTGGAATATACCTGCTAAACGGCTGCCTGGACATTGCTTCCTTAACAAGTGCCTTGTTTCCACTCAAGATCATGGATCTTTGGGAATCTAATAAGAGTGATGAAAAATTATTCATAGGTCTCCTTCATTCACTATACAACCCTTCCTGCTAAGAGAAAAATGGGCAAAGGATCTGGGATGGATATCTTTGTGCATCTATATCAATAATGGATAAAATATCTCATCTGTCTACTTCTCTTATTATTGAATCCTTCCCTCTTAGAGGAATCTGAGTAAAGGAATCTAAATTAGGTGTATGGTGGAGAGCCAGTAACTGGGAGTAGAATCTAAAACAAATCTATAGTGTCCTAGTTAACAAACTCAAAGAGTAAATGTATAGAAACACAGGAAACCATGCAGGACAATCAAGACTAAAATTTAGGGGTATGATGAAAAGCCTAAAACAATTCTGAGTTGCAAAATAATGGCACCAGTAATCTTATAGTAAATTTCAAATTGTTAGGCTAGGCCTTATTCTGCTTAAGATCAGAATTGGTTGAAGATACTGTGTTGGAGCTGAACTAGAAGGTAGTGGGTTGGTAGCCCCATCTAGAAGGAGAGGCCAGCTAGGATGCCAATGAGTAACTGGTAAGTTGCAGATTTTGAGTTCCTACCACGAACTTCTGCAGCAATTGGTGACTTATTTGCTAGGTGTTGCAGAGAGGCTCAAAACAATTATCAATCATCCTGCTAATTAAACATAGTTATTCACTGGATTTTTAAAATAGATTGTACTATATACTTTTGATAGGAAAACACTAGAATGGCCTAAAAGAATCACTTCTATTGTTAGATTTACTTATATATTCTTTAATTTCTAGTAATCTGATTTGTTGTTTTTTTTTTTGAGATGGATTCTTGGCTCTGTTGACCAGGTTGAATGCAGTGGTGCAATCTCGGCTCACAGCAACTTCTGCCTCCCGGGTTCAAGAGAATCTCCTGCCTCAGCCTCCTGAGTAGCTGGGCTTACATGCACCCACCACCCCGCCTGGCTAATTTTTGTATTTTTAGTAGAGATGAGGTTTCACCTTGTTGGTCAGGCTGGTCTTGAAATCCTGACCTCAGATAATCCACCTGCCTCGACCCCTCAAAGTGCTGGGATTGCAGGTGTGAGCCACCACACACTACCTATATCTGAACTAAGTTTTACATGTGAAGATAATGTAAATAATATATACATTTATAAATATCCTTGGTTGCATTATTTTTAATAGATTAATACTTACAATAGTGTGAACCTACAGTAGGTAAAAATGAACAGGTATAGTTGATTTAGTTCTGATTATTTTATCATTTTGATAAATTATGAAATTATATCATTGCATAGACTGGTTTGATTTTTATTCAATTGTTTGTGTGACTAATTAGGAAAAAGACTGGGATGATTACTACAAAGGCGATTTAATTTTTGAGTTTAAACACAAACTAAGGTTTCAATTTCCTGCAGTGGAAGTACTTTCTGAGCTTGTCTGAATATGACTAGAATTGTTCTAGCCAAAGAGAAATGTTGAATAATGATGAATTTTTCTTAAGCTCAGCTGGTCTATTTTTAAAGATAACATAGTGAATGGAATCAAAGCTTGTCATTTCTGTAAAATGGCAATAATAATAAATTGCAATATACTTTTAAAGAGTAGCAGTTATATTTGGATAGAACTTTATTTTTTCCAGCATATGAATCATTACCTAATAATATTTCATTTAATTAATCAGAAAATTGTGAGTGAAAGCTCTGCTTACAAAACCTATAAACAGAAACTCCAATTCAGCCTTATCACTACTAAATTTTAATGTAAGAGACAACACAAATTAATTAAAGATGAAATGATTCACAAAATAATTACAGCATCTTGTTGCCTTAGGGAATAGTAAAGAACTAACATTTCAGTACTGAGGCTGTTAATGGTGTGCACAACAAAGAGATAAACCCAAGTATAGTTAATTTAAAAATTGGCGTTGGCAAATGAAGAAAATAAGTGTGTGCATGTGTATATAGATATGTGTGTGTGTGTATATGTGTGTGTGTGTGTATGCATATATATACGCATATATATACATATGCATATATATGTGAATATATATATGCATACACACACACATATACACACACATATATATATATATAAAGTGAAAGAAGTTGTAAATTTTAACCTATTTTGTTTTTTAAAATAATGTGTAGGGCTTTTTTTTTTTAACAGCTATTTTGCTTTTAATAAAGTAAATGTAATGACAAGAGTAGGGAGGTGACAAACACATCAATATATATTTTTCTTATGGCCAGCTTCTTCTTTAACTGTACCCGGGGTCAACAATCACGCCAGCTTTGTTCTACTATTGCAGAAACACGCTTTTCATATTCCCGATTGTTCTCCTGGTACAGCTGCGCAGCCTGGTTGTTTGCTGGACTATCGGGATTGGGTTCATCCAATAGAGACTGTATGGATGTTAGAATCGAAGACACATCACAGGTTGGACTCCAACGGTTCTGAAGTATATCCAGACATATACTACCATCTGCATAGACATTTGGATGGAACATCTTAGAGACAAATCTAAGTGTAGGTGGCTTATTTGGATATTCTTCAGTGAATTCTGTTGTAAGTTTAAATGTTCCATCCTCAAATGGGGTCCCTTCAGGCCCCAAAATGACCGCGTTCCACACCATTATGTTGTTCTCGGACGGAGCCCCGCTGACTCCGGCTGGAGGATCCTCCTGCAACCTCTTGAAGCCCCGCATGAGGCGCCGGCGAGCCGGGGTGGACATATCGCGAACGGTGTTAGGGGTGGGGCATACACTGGGGTCTCGGGTTCCCGCGGCGGGCGAGGAGGCCGAGGAGGCAGAAGCAGCCGGAGAAGCGGCGGCGGAAGCACCCAAAGGTACCGCGCTACCTCTCCGAAGTCGAGGGTCGGTCTGGCGCCGGCAAAGCACCACCCCAGTGTAGACGGGGGATGAACCAACCTGAAAGCAGAGAGACTGGGGTGGAACGTCGAGCGCCGGACAGGCCATACCAAGACGGGGCGGGGGGTGCTGGAGAAAAGTTGCTTATGTCATTACAGCCCCGCGGGAGGCCCGGGGCGGGGCCGCGAGGGCAGAGGCGCTGGGTACCTGTGTAGGCCTTTTCTATAGTGACTTTGAAAAAGTATTTGAAAACACTACATTGATTTTGCTTTTTATTTATTGATAATCTATTATTATATATCTATTAAATTTATAATTTACAATTTATTTATATGATTATATTATTGCACATGAGCACTGCTACTTCTTTTCATTTTGTGTTTTGAATATGAAATTCCTGTATTTTACAAATATTTGACTAACACAGCTATATTTAGTTCATTAGAGAGTTTCTTAAAAGTTTCTAAAATTTCATAATATTTTGTTTTTTTTGTTTAGAATTTACATCCTTCATTTTTTTCAAAAATCATTGAAGTGGCTTATGAGATTAGGCATAATACCAAATAAGATGGTTAGAAATAGAATAAGAGGTATCATCTTAACACAGCAGAGGGAATGAGGTGAACAGACACTCAACATGAGGTGATAGAACTGGGGCACCGAAAATTTACAAAAGTACAGAGTTTTAATTTCTGACTAGAGAAAGCATTTGGATATTAGGGGTTTTTAAATTAACGGGCCTTAAACTCAGATTGTATTTTGGCATCTTGTTTTAAGGGACACTGTGTAAAGTACCGAGAAGTATTTTTGCTCCAATTTGTGACACATGTATTCATTCTGTTTGAATATCATTATAAAATTTCAAGCCTCCATATAATGCTTTCTTATTTGAAAAGTAATACATGTGTGTAGAAATAAAAATGTAAACTGGCCAAAATGGCATAAAATAAGAATGTTACCATATTTAATAAAAAGTTAAATTATTTTTAGATTCCTTACTTTCACCTTCAGTCCTTTCCTGAGAAGTGGCAACTTTTGATATTTTAAGCTCTTTGGGTGGTTACATATATAACACTCAATAATATAGTTATGCTTTATTTCTTGATTGTCAATTTAACCAGTATTTGCAGACTTTCTAAAATTGATAATGAAGGGAGCTCATTTACTCTCCTAACATTGCATTCTTTCAATCTCTCTTTCTTTCCCATTTTTATTAGTCATTTTATTATATTTTAATTCTTTTATTGATAAGCTGAAAATTCAGCTTCAAATATAGAGTAGAATTTTTTTTTGGCATTAAAATCTTTATTTAAAAGAGCAGCCTGGATGCCCTGGCCCACGCTTGTAATCGTAGCACTTTAGGAAATCAAGGCCAGAGGATTCCTTGAGATCAGGAGCTTAAAACCAGCTTGGGCAACGTAGCAAGACCTCTTCTCTACATTAAAAAAAAAAAGAAAGAAAGAAAGAAAAAGAAAAACAATAGTACTTAACATACACATTTTAAAACAGATAACTGAATTATTTCAGTTAACAGAATAGCTGATATCTTCTCATAGATTTCTGAGAGGAGTTTTGGAAGTCAGTGATTTTTATGTGAGTTGTATTTCAAAAACTCATTTTTTTCTTTGACTGCTTTTCTCTGATTTTTTTAAATCTAAAATTTTGATTTTGCTTGTAACAGGCTGGAGTTTCATATTATGCAATGCAGTCTCCACCATTCTTCTCACTGTTAATTGAGCTAATTTTCTTCAAAGTTTTGACCTATTCTTCAAAGACTTTGGTGGAAATTGCCAAGGCATGAGAAAATGACATTTCTTCCGTACATGTACTGTCTCCTGCAGCTTGCTTTTCTAGTATACTTATCTTCTGCCTTGTAACAGGGTTTCCTTTTATTTACTTATTTTCATTTTTTTTGGTTTCTACTCCTCTTATTGATGTTTTGTCTTCTATGTTATGGGGCAAGAATATCTTATTTTCTCTTATAGTACTGGCAACCTAGCAGAGATGTAACAGGAAAATCAGAAAAACAGGAATTTCTTTCATGGCAGTTCTTTTTCTATATTAGATTTCTCCCCTAAACCCAGAAAATGTGTTTTTCTTTAAAAAACTATTAGCTTCCTATTCCTTTGATTATATATTGGCCTCAAGATGTTTGTATTTGGGTCCTTTAGTTCTCTGCTTATGTTGCATATGAGCAGATGTGATATTCCAGAGCTTCTGAAGCAGAAGTTTTAAAAGGCAGCACACGTTTTTGGCCAGCTCTCTCAGTCTTCCTGGTGGCTTATCTAAAAGAGGGGATGCTCTACTGCTTTGATTCAGGAATTAGAAGTCCCATCTACCAGAACCACAACCAATTCATAATTAATGGGCAATGTGAGTGAAAAATAATTTTATGAGCCACTGGGATTTGGGGGTTGTTGCTTGTTACTTCAGCAAAGTTGATTAATACACGGCTCATATTTAAGCCTCAACCTTTGAAATATCTGGGCAAGGAGGAGCTACTCAGAACTTGAAATCACATGTTATTGAAAAAAGATGTCAAATTATTACATAAATTTTTCAGCTGGTCCCTTTGAATAGCTGAGTAAGAAGGAAATATTCTTCATTGTAAAGTATAATTCCGTGTGGTATTTTGTTGATGTGGGAGGCAGGTCCTTTCAATTTCAGTTATTGATTTTGTAATCTGGAACTGAAACTAACCAATAATAAAATAAAATTCTGGTCCCACTGAGACAGCCAGGTGAGAGAGGGTCCCTGGAGAGACACCAACCAGCCTGCCCACTGGGGTGGAGCCTTGGGAAGTTCATGACCTTTGTAGCAGGGAGGAGCCTGGCACCTCCTCTTCCTGTTTGAATCTGGGAATTTAACTCAAGTGGGAAGCGCTTTAGGAGGAACTCTGGCCTAGCAAGAGTGTCTGTTTCCACCTTTTCTTCCTTTTCACCCAATAAAGCCCTGTGTCATCATTCAAATTGTCTACAAGTCAGAATTTTCGTGGCCATGGGACAAAGAACCGCATCTTTAACCGAACTAAGGAAAAGTCCTGCAACACTTTTGGCATGCAGCGCGGGGGCTCAGGAAATGGTGAGTGAGATGCAAACCAACAATTCTTTATCGCTCTCTCTTCTGAGCCTTTTCATCCTCGTGGCCTTTTCCTTCCTTTTTGGGGGATGGACTGGCAAGCAGCAGGTCCCCGCAGCTCTCTCCTCCATGCCGTGCTGGGATGCATGGCCTAAGAGCTTGGCACAGCAGGCTGGCAGTCCCAGCCACCTGCTTCTGCGGGAGCCTTCCCCTTCCCCAGCCAGGTTTTTTTTTTACTCCATTGGACAATAATGGAACTAATCTCCCTGGTCGAGAAACCACTTGCTTAAGAGTATGAGGTTCTTCCCCAGAAATTTTTAAACTGTTCCTCTTCTCCGCCCCATCAGCAGTTAGGTTTTAAGCAAGATTTTTTTTTCTTTTAGAAGATGTTTTACTACACAAGGCCGCACAGCTATTACTGTTTATATTTTCTGTAAAGCTTTAGTTGTGAAAAAGGGTTTGTGGGGCCAGTCTTGGGCTGTGGCCAATCCGGTGCGCTTTTCTTGTCTGTATGATTTGTGCTGCAAGCCTCCATCTTGTTTTACACCCAGGGAGCATGGCTTGTAACCACTTGGCAAGACTTTGTTTAGGAATCCTGCCTTAGGGAATAAGTTTCTTTCTGGTTTGATACCTGCATGTTTTCCTGGGGCTGTCTCTTAAAGGGCCCCACCTAGGGACTGGGTTTTCTGGAGGTCTGTGTGCGTACTGTGTATGTTGTCTGTCAAAAGAACTCTAATTTGGCCTAAAGAAAGAAAAGCACTGGATCTAATACTTTTTAAAGGGAAGTTAGAAGCTTTGGAACATTTCGGTTCATGTGACTTTAATCTTTAAGAAATAAAAACAGCCCTAACCACTATTGGTGAAATGCAGGTCAGGTGTAAGGTTTGCCAAGTGTTACAAACCGTTGAGGTCACAAACTGCTTTTTGGGTTTGAGCCATTAGACAATTGTTAAGGCCTGGGGACATACGGAACTAATCACCCCTTAACTAATAAGGCAAGCTTTGACGGCAGCTAGCACACAATTAAAGCAACTTACCAAGTTTTACCTTAAAGTTTAAAATTGCTAGGAGTTAATTGAAACTACTAGAAATATATTTACATACAAGGTGTGTAAAAATGGTGAAATGTGTTTTTTAATAAAGGTTATAAGAAGGCATGGAAATGTAAACTTTTGCCTAGGGTTAAAGGATTGTTACTAATTAAATTAGAAAAAAGCTAAAGGTTCAAAGAAGTGGTGGAAGAATTGTGGAAATTAATCTTGCAGAAGAGGTTCTCTGTGTCAACATACTAAATTCAAAAAAGGGGTATTATATGGTTTTTCTGTAAATTGAGCATTGAAATAAAAGCATAGCAAGAGTTTTTTAAGGCACTAATCTGCTCTTTGGTAAAATTTGTAAGGAGTTATGGAAGGTTTTTGCTTCTTTAAATTTTTGAGACATAATTTTTGGCAAAATAAGTAACTTACTGTAACCTAGAATTCTGTTTCATAATATCAAGTGTTTTAAACCCTGAACATTTAACGGCCTTCTCAAAATCAAACTTCAGTTTCAAAATTGTCTTTACTGACACCTGGGATAGTCCAGATGGCCCCTGGAATGCCCAGAAAAGAGAGGTAAACTGGATTTTGTACATGAAATTGTCAAAATGATGCTCAGTCTTCTTTAGGTTATATCTCAGTGAATAATGCTAATGTATGATCCAAAATTGTATGGGATTTTTAAAGTTCTAATGTCTAAGTATATGCTACCAATCGTAATTAAGGTTTTTATGTTATTGTAAACCATGGAGATAAACAAACTTCTTTGTCAGTTGTGTTTCTAACTGTAACTAACCCAGATATTTTGCTATTCACAGACAATTGTTTTGTTTTTGTCCTTTTCAAAAGATGGTTCATAATAAGCTGTAGAACTTTAACAGGTGCTCTCAAATACAGCCTTCTGATAATTTTAGAGATTGTAACATTAGAATAAAGGAAAATGTACAGGACTCATGAAGAGCTGAAATGCTCATGAATATCAAGCAAAACAAGAGTTAACTAAATGGAAGTCAGGAAACTGAAGCAAATCTTTTTAACCTTGCTTTGAATATTGCTGATCCATGGTTTTGTTTTTTGGAGTCAAGGAAACTTTGAACTATTTATGGCTTTTAATAATTAAGTAAGATACACTCCCGTGATCAAGATTTAGGGCATATTTCTCTCTTCCTGGTTCCTCTAGAATTTGGAAACTATCTGTGAGCATTCTTACAGCAGTACAGTTGTTTGCATCAGTGCAATAAGAACCCATTTTCTTTTGCAACAAGACACACTTGGAGAAAGTGGTTATTTTACCAAGTCTTTGACTGGAAGGGTATGCTTCCCTTTAAGTAGTCAATATCAGCTGGCAGAGCTGATAAAATCCCCATGGGAGAAACTGGCCTCATGCCCTTAACTATGCAGTTCTTGTACAGGGTTCTTGACCAGTGGTCAGTAAAGAATGTCACTTTCTAACAGATTCAGGAGCTCCAAATTTATCTCGGGACCTTAAGTGGAGGGGATCACCCGACTCACAGATATTTGAGAATAAATCCGTGGCTGGGCTTGGCTTTAAAAGGGCTTATCTGAGATTCCTTGTGGAACAAACTTCTATCAAAGTCAATCAATCCAAATGGCCTATGTAGAAATAATTATTCTTGCTGCACTTTATGCAAATAATCAGGTTAAGTATAAGACTGAAGTCTAGTATGCAAACCATTCAGTCCTATGATGACTTTTTTTTTTTTAAACAAACATGAGTACTGGAGAGAGAAATCATGTTTCAAAACTTGTGGTATATTTGTCATTAAATTCTAAAGTCATTAGTTGTTTTTAAGTTTTTTGCCTATGTTTTAGACTAACTCTGCTTTCTTCTGTGAAGCAACCAGCAATGCCTGGCTGCAGCTCAGAAAGAATAAGAGGGATGGATAATGTAGAAATTCTGATTAATATTTTAGTTCTGAGCATTTATCCTGCAATTTCTTCTAGGTGATAGGAATGAATAGGATGTCCATCACTCAGAGGTTTCCTTTTGGGAAAGTAAGGCCAATGGAGCTAACCAAAGCCAAGCACCATGCACCCAAATCTTAGCAAGCATAGCTATAGCCACCACTTATTTGAGTATGTCACAAGGCATCCTTTCCTCTCCCTTGTTGGAAGAGGACCCAGTTCTTTACCTAAGCATTCAACTTATGATAAGGAGTCCATGCAACGCCTGAGATACATTTTTGTCCCAAATCAATTCCAAGCTTCAGGATCAAAGCTCTAGGAAGGAAAACTAGACTGAGAGATCCAGCGGCAAATGACAACAGAGGTTACAAGGCCCAGGGCAGGTGAGCGTGGCTGATTCTTGCTGATTAAGCCAAACCCAAGCTTCCTGTTTCATTGATAAAGGCTACATTAATATCCATGGCATAAATGAGGTCTAAAGAACTCCAAAGCTACTGACAGTATATGGGAAAGAGACATAGGTGAGAGCGGATAATTCCTATTCTCTAGGGTCCCCTGCTTCATGGGTGCAGCCCGCTTTAATACCCATAGCAGTGCAAGAATGGAAAGAGGATGCTCTTCTCTCTCTCCCTCATGTACTCTGGGTGTCTGCTACAAAGAGAAAGGAACCAGTGATGTCCGCTCCCCTCTTTCTAGATGGGCAGCCATTCGTCTTCAGTCTGAACCCCTTTCTAATGCATCCTGAACCTCTGGGAATGCCTTTTTTTTCCCCCTTCCTCCTCCTTAATTCTCTCTTCACTAATAGGTAATTATGTCTCCATACTACGAGGCCCTCCCCTCAAATGCATCCTCCAAACTGGAAAGAGTTAATTTTTTAAACCTTAAGCTGGTTAGGTTAGGATTGGGCTCAGGGGAAGGGAACCCAGAAGCCCAACATGGCAGAAAAAGGGTAGAGTTTTTTTTTTTTTTTTTTTTTTAAACCAGTCGGTCTTTTGGCCTCCCTCTCCCTATGTAAACTGGTAAAAGGCCTCAGAATTTTTGAGCTGTCTTTACACCTCCCCTTGTTTTGTTTTGATACATGTTTTTTAATAACCCAGTTTATCTGTTCTTGCCTTCAGGCCATCAAACTCCAAACAGTCACGCAACTGGAGCCTCTGACAATGGCTCCTTTTTCTAGGAATCCTTAAGTCGGCCTCTGGGGAAGCTCTGACTGCCATTTCCTCAAAACTGCCCCCTGTTAGCAGGAAGCACTTAAGACAGGTCTTCATTCTTATCCTAATCCAACAGCAGTTAGACTATTTCCTTAGGGGAAGGAATTAGATAGCCAGGTGGGAGGGGATCCCCAGAGAAACTCCAGCCAGCCTGTCCACTGAGGTAGAGCCTCAGAAAGTTCACTATGTTTGCAGCAGGGAGGAGCCTGGACCCTCCTATTCCTGTGTGAAACGTGGGATTTGAATGGTGGGTGGGAAGCACTCTAGCAGGAACACTGGCCTAGTGAGAGTCCCTGTTACCCCATTTTCTTCCTTTTCACCCAATAAAACCCTGTCTCACTCACCATTCAAATTGTCCATGAGCCTGAATTTTTGTGGCCATGGGACAGACAGCCCTGTCTTTAGCTGAACTAAGGAAAAGCCTTGCAACACCACCACAGTAGTTTATGAACATGTAAATTCACAATTATAATGCCAATGCAACATCAAGACAGAGTTTTGCCACATTAAAAAATAGTTTTGTCAATATTTACTAATTTTTATAATCATGAAGTTGTTATGTAGGTCTGTTATGTAGGTCTGTACAGTTATGTATACTGTAGAGGAAAACATCTTTATGATTCTGTAAGACAAAATTTTAAGAATCGTGTTTTTGTAATTGTTATAATTTAATTTTAAACTATGATAATTTAAAGTATTTTGAATCTGCCTGTAGACTGTTTGTAATTATATTAGACAAAGTCCAACGTGTACTGGCAAAGGGAAAGTTGAGATGATATTTGAAAGCTTTTCAACATTGGAAAAAGGTATCTTTTCTCCTCTTCTGTTGGCCTACATATTACTTTCATTGACCATAAGTGTGATATATTAGTGATCAGGTGTAATTTGTGAATAAAATATATTTTATTTTTTTTAAGATATGTATTACTGTAAAGTTATAGTGAGGGTGCATTTATGGTGATTGCCAACAACAGCAATTTGACATTTGATTTTTACTAGAAAAAATAATGAAATTTAAACTTTAAGCAGTATCTTTTTTTTTTTTGCCAATATTATACCATGAAAAACGGCAATCATTTAGCAAGCTTAAAAAAGGTTATTGGGAAGACTTGTACACTCACCACAAAGATTCTTTTATCAATACTTTGCTCATAGCTGCTTTATCGCATGTTTATCCATCTATCACTGTACACTTCCACCAATCCATTTTATTACATTTAAAAGGAAATTGCAACATTATTAGTTTTTTTTCTAAATACTTCAGTGTACATATAATGGAATAGAGTTCATTATTTGTTGATTTTTTTTCCTTTTTTTTAATTGTACTTTATGTTCTGGGGTACATGTGCAGATCATGTAGGATTGTTGCATAGGGACACACATGGCAGTGTGGTTTGCTGCCTCCATCACCCCGTCACCTACATCTGGTATTTCTCCCCATGTTATCCCTCCCCAACCTCCCTACCCACACCCTGCTCTCCCTCCCTTGCCCCCTCCAACAGACCCCATAGTGTGATGCTCCCCTCCCTGTGTCCATGTGTTCTCATTGTTCAACATCACCTATGAGTGAGAACATGTGGTGTTTGATTTTTTGTTCTTGTGTCAGTTTGCTGAGATTGATGGTTTCCAGATTCATCCATGTCCCTACAAAGGACACGAACTCATCGTTTCTTATGGCTGCATAGCATTACGTGGTGTATATGTGACACATTTTCTTGTCCTATTATTTGTTTATAATCTGTCTTTTGATGCAAAGTTACATAAAATATGATACACAAGATTTAATTGCATATCAACAAAGTTGTGACAAATATATATGCTTGTGTAATCCAAACCCCTAACAAGATATAGAACATTATATAACATTATATAATCTTGTCCCAGACAGATTCCTTATCCCCTTTCCAGTCAATTCCATCTGATATGGTTTGACTGTGTGTCCAACCAAACCTCATGTTGTAGCTCCCATTGTTCCCATATGTTGTGGGAGGGACCCAGTGGGAGATAATTGAATCATGGGGCAGGTATTTTTGTGCTGTTCTCATGATACTGAGTAAGTTTAATAAGATCTGGTGTTCTTACAAATGGGATTTTCCCTGCATAAGCTCTCGTCTCTTGTCTGCTGCCAAGTGAGATGTACCTTTCACCCTCCACCATGCTTGTGAGGCCTCCCCAGCCTCATGGAACTGAGAGTCCAATAAACCTTTTTCTTTTGTAAATTGTGCAGTCTTGAGTATATCTTTATCAGCAGTGCAAAACCAAACTAATACAGTAAATCGGTATCAGTAGAGTGGGAAACTGCTGAGAATATACCCTAAAATGTGAAAGCGACTTTGGAACTGGGTAACAGGCAGAGGTTGGAATAGTTTGGAGGGCTCAGAAGAAGATGGGAAAATGTGGGAAAGTTTGGAACTCCCTAGAGACTGGTTGAATGGCTTAGGCCAAAATGCTGATAATAATATGGACAATGAAATCCAGGCTAAAGTGGTCTCAGATGGAGATGAGAAACTTTTTGAGAACTGGAACAAAGGTGACGCTTAGGTTTTAGCTGTGAGACTGGTGGCATTTTGCCCGTGCCTTAGAGATTTGTGGAACTTTGAACTTGAGAAAGATGATTTAGGATATCTGGTGGAAGAAATTTCTAAGCAGCAAAGCATTCAAGAGGTGACTTGGGTGGTGTTAAAGGCATTCAGTTTTAAAAGGGAAACAGCATAAAAGCTCAGAAAATTTGCAGCCTGATAATGCAATAGAAAAGAAAATCCTATTTTCTGAGAAGAAATTCAAGCTGGCTGCATAAATTTGCATAAGCAACAAGGAGCGGAATGTTAATCACCAATGCAGTGGGGAAAATGTCTCTGGGGTATATCATAAGTCTTAATGGCAGCCCCTTCCATCACAGGCTCAGAGATTTAGGAGGGAAAAATGGTTTTATGGGCCAGGCCCAGGACCCCCTGCTGTGTGCAGGCTAGGGACTTGGTGTTGTGCATCCTAGTTGCTTCAGCGATGGCTAAAAGGGGTCAAGGTATAGCTTGGGCTGTTGCTTCAGAGGATGCAAGCCCCAAGCCTTAGCAGCTTCCACATGGTGTTGAACCAGTGAGTGCACAGAAGTCAACAATTGGAGTTTGGGAACCTCTGCCTGGGTTTCAGAAGATGTATGGAACTGCCTGGATGCCCAGGCAGAAGTTTGTTGGAGTGGTGGGGTCCTCGTATAGAGCTTCTTCTAGGGCAATACAGAAGGGAAATGTGGGGTCAGAGTCCCCACATAGAGTCCCTACTGGGGCACTGCCTAAGTGGAGCTGTGAGAAGAAGGCCACTGTCCTCCAG